ACCTCCTATTCTTAAAATTTGTTTGTGTTTCGGAGAACGTCCATGTTCAAACAATGCTGATATTTCGAAAAAAGTTTGAGATTTTAAAAAATGTCCGAGTTTAATTATTTTTCACAACTTCTGCAAAATATTCGTGTTTTGTAAATGTTCACCTTTTCAGAAAAAAATATGTTTCAATTTGATTTTCAAGGTTTGGCGCTGCGAATTAATCATAAGTGGTTGTTAGTCTTAGTGGCTATCAGCTCGTTCCTTGTAGCAGGAGGTCCTGCGTTTGCATCCTTTACTAGCATGTGTTTAGGGTGGTTGCATCAAGGCCAAAGTGTTAACTAAGTGCATCTACAGTTGGACTCCTCAAACCCGCCTCAAACACCAGGGCAGAACGCTGATCGGTCACAGAAAAACGATCTAGATGGACCCTCAAACCGACCTCAAACGCCCGGGCTGACCGGCACACCTCATTTCCAGCCCAAATATAAGGCGGATATGGGGGGAGCTCGAGCGCGCCCGGGCACGGCCGCCTGTACCACATCTACCGCACATATATTCGTCCCCATCCGCTCACCGGACCAAACCCTAGAGCCACTTCACTCCACTCCCATCTGCCACCGAAGATCACCTCCGGCGATCTCCGGACTTCTTCGACATGGCGGGCAGCGGATCTGAGTCCTTTACCTCCAGATCCGTCAACCATGAGCTCATCCCACGCGGCCCCAAGGAGGAGATGGCTGTCCGGGTTCTGGTCCGCCACTCCCGGGAGGCGGCTGCACGACGGCAGCACTCGGTCTCGCAACGCCAGGAATCCATTGCGTCCGCACAACCGATTCTTTGATCCGGTGTCACTGCCTCACCGGAGGCGGCGGTGCTGTCCGTTTGGTGTCTGAATATCAAAACGATCAAAGTTTGCAAAGCATAGACTTCGAGCTTCACAGAACAGCACACACCTAGCTCAATGGCCACGAGGCACGCCATTGCTTCCGCCTGGAAAATCACTCTTAACGTGCATTAGTTTACCCGCTCCCGCTGCTAGGAAATCTCCAGCGTCCGATCGCAGGATGTAGCCTAAAGCTCCAACAGTGGATTCAGGTTTAAAAGCTGCATCAAAATTCACTTTTATAAAATCCTGTTTTGGTTTCATCCACCCTGTCACTATAGGTGCCGCCTGAGGAGGTGACTCGGGACCCTCTGCAAAATCAAGCATATGTTTATTTAGTAATAATGTGACATGTGTCCTTGGTAGTCCTTGCCTTATCACCAGCATTGATTTTATTCCTTGTAGTCCGTCAATCCCAGAGAAGAACCTCCAATCTCCGCTGCATCTCAGGATTAAGTGTAAAAATAGCTTCAACAACAGCAGCAGCATTAGGTTGTGACAGTAGCAAAAGCCTCGCCTCTACCAAATTCAGTTCCCTCCAGAGACCTTCTTTGCAAACTTGCACCGCAAAAAAGTATGCCCCCGATCCTCATGGAGCCTTTGCTGTCACCCAAAGCTTGTTCCAACGCTCGGATGACACCACTGTATTAGCAGAGGAGGATGCATCTCTGAATTTTGCCCACTGTACTTGCAACGCTGGGATGCATCTCTTAATGGAAATTGGAAAGGCTAAATTTGTTGAAACCAAAATCATTTCCCAAGTTATAAAAAGTGAGTCCATATGTACGAACCAAATATCTGGACTTCTGTGTAAAATATAAATTACAAGAATTAAATTAGTCTGTTGGCCGGCCGTATGTCGACATTGACCTTATTCTTCCATGCATGCAGGCATCTCATTGCTGACATATTCGGCACTGGCAGCGACCACGAGCTGCCGTCCGAGGTTACACGTGCATCCATGCTGGTGCGCATTAACACCCTCCTTCAGGGATTTTCCCGCATGCGCTTCGAGATCCTCGAGGCCATCACAAAGCTCATCAACAAAGGAGTACACCCAAGGATTCCCCTTCGGGGCAGCATCACCGCGAGTGGCGATGTTGTCCCTCTTGCTTACATTACCGGTGTCCTTACTGGACGCCCCAATGCAGAGGCACTTACCCACGATGGTAGGAAGGTGGATGCCGTCGAGGCATTCAAGATCGCCGGGATAGATGTTGGCTTCTTCAAGCTGAACCCCACGAAGGGGTTGGCCATTGTAGGTGGGACGGCTGCGGCCGCCGCCCTTGCAGCCATGGTGTTGTTTGATTGCAACATCTTCTCCGTCCTATCTGAGGTTTTTCCCGTAATGTTTTGTGAGGTAATGTATGGCAAATCAGAGTTTGCCGACCAATTTGATGGAGTGATCTTCAAAGTGGATTTTGAAAAGGCCTACGATAAAGTCAAGTGGCCTTTTTTGCAACAAGCTTTGCACATGAAAGGATTTGACGAAGCCTAGAGAAAACAGGCCCAATCCTTTGTGCAGGGAGGTAGCGTTGGTATTAAAGTTAATGTCGATATTGGTCATTATTTTCAAACGCTTAAAGGATTAAGACAGGGTGATTCCATGTCACCGATCCTTTTAAATATTGTGGTTGATATGTTAACCGTGCTTGTTAACAGAGCGAAACAAGATGGTCAGGTAGGTGGTCTTATCCCACATCTAGTGGATGGTGGGGTATCTATCCTACAATACGCAGACGACACAATTATTTTCATGGAGCATGACCTCGCGAAAGCAAGGAACATGAAGTTAGTTCTTTGCTTATTCGAACAACTGTCCGGACTCAAGATTAATTTTAATAAGAGCGAATTGTTCTGCTTTGGACGCGCCAAGGAGGAGCAAGAAAGATATAGACAGTTGTTCGGGCGTGAATTAGGTGCGCTTCCCTTTACGTATCTAGGGATACCAATTCATCATCGCAAACTTCCTAATAAAGAATGGAAATGCATTGAGGATCGGTTTGAGAAGAAATTAAGTTGCTAGAAAGGCAAATTTTATCGTACGGAGGAAGGCTAATTCTTATTAATTCGATGCTAACGAGCATGCCGATGTTCCTCCTCTCTTTCTTTGAAGTACCAGTAGAAGTATGGAAAAGATTAGACTTCTATCGATCCAGATTCTTTTGGCAAATTGATGAGAATAAGGCCAAGTATAGGCTTGCCAAGTGGGAGATAATTTGTAGACCAAAGGACCAGGGCGGATTGGGTGTCGAGAATTTAGAAGTGAAGAATAGGTGCTTATTGAGCAAATGGTTATACCGCCTTTCAGTGGAGACTGAGGGTGTGTGGTTGCAGTTACTTCGAAACAAATACTTATACGCTAAGTCTTTGGCTCAGGTAACGGCATAGCCGTCAGACTTACCTTTTTGGAAAGGATTTATGAGGATGAAGGTTTCTTTCTTTAACAGAGTGACATTTAAAGTGGGGAATGGGCAACAAACTCGATTCTGGGAGGATACCTGGTTTGGGGGCACTCCATTAGCGTTACAGTATCCAGTTTCATATCACATTGCACAACGGAAAGAAGTTTCTGTTGAGTCTGTGTTGCAGTCCATTTCCCTTAGTATTCAATTTCGACGGGCACTTGTGGGTCCATGCTGGGATACATGGATGCATCTTGTGCGTAGGTTAATGGAGATTAATCTTTCGGATGCCAATGACACGATAAGTTGGAAGTTAACGGGGTCAGGTCTTTTCACGATTAAATCAATGTATGATTTAATTAATACTGGAGACATCCCAAGGTCGGGCCATTTCTGGAAAATTAAGGTGTCGTTGAAAATAAAAGTGTTTATGTGGTTTGTTCACAAAGGTGTAATGTTAACCAAAGATAATCTAGCAAAACGCAATTGGGAAGGGCGTCAAGGATGTTGCTTTTGTGACCAGAATGAAACAATTGAACATCTACTTATTAAATGTCCGATTGCTAGATTACTTTGGAGAACGATTCATGTTGCTTTTAACATCACTCTGCCAACTTCAATATACAGTTCTTTCCTGACAGGCTGGATGGGGTGGTTCCTTAGACAGCTGCACAAATCAGAGTTGGAGCATGTGCGTTGCTTTGGGTGATATGGAATTGTCGGAATGATGTTGCCTTTAACAGACAAAACATTAATAATTTTTTGCATGTCATCTTTAGAGCGTCTACATGGATCCGTACGTGGTCCTTGCTGAGCCATACAGACCACAAGGCACACATGGCTATTGGGTGCAACCAATGGAAAACGGTTGCACGGGATACATACAACCGATATGGATGGCGGTCCAGTAATAGGCTAGGTGTGTAGACATCTTGATGTATTATAGCCGGTTGTGGCTTTTTTATTTTTTGGCCGCGTGTGGCATTTGTTTCTTCATGATCTTCTGAGACCATCTGAGGAGACTTTTGGACCTCTTTTCTTAATAAAATGGCTGTGTGCATCGAATGATGCAGAGGCCGGAGGTTAACCTCCTTTTCTAAAAAAATCTAATCCACAAGTTGAAACATCACCCTGGCACAATTGAGGCCGCGGCTATCATGGAGCACATCCTAGCTGGCAGCCCGTTCATGGTCTATGGCAAGATGGTGAACAACATGGACCCACACCTCAAGCCAAAACAAGACAGATATGCGATCCGCACCGCACCACAGTGGCTTGGCCCGCAGATCGAGGTCATTCAGGCGGCTACCAAGTGTATAGAGCGTGAGGTGAACTCTATGAGTGACAATCCAGTTATTGATGTGCACCGTGGCATAGCACTCCATGGTGGTAACTTCCAGGGAACACCCATCGGCGTGTCCATGGACAACACCCGCCTTGCTATCGCCAGCATTGAGAAGCCTATGTCTGAGCAGTTCTCTCAGCTCGTGAATGAGTTCTACAACAATGGCATGACGAACCTGGCTAGCAGTCGGGACCCGAGCTTAGACTATGGTCTGAAAGGCATTGAGATCGCCATAGCCGCCTATTGCTCGGAGCTCTAGTACCTTGCCAACCCGGTGACAACCCATGTCCAAAGCGCCGAGCAACACAACCAGGGGGTGAACTCACTCGGCCTTTTCTTAGCCAGGAAGAATGCGGAGGCGGTGGAGATACTGAAGCTCATGTCCTCGACGCACCTGGTGGCACTTTGCCAGGCCGTCGACCTTCGCCACCTGGAGCAAAACATCAAAATCTTTGTCAACACATGTGTGGTGCAGGCTGCTAAGAAAGTGGTCGACGCCACCAGTATTCAGAAGAAGCTCGCAGCCGCCGTCGACCGCGTGGACGTTTTCAAGCACGCCGACAACCCATGCAGCGCCAACTACCCCGTGATGCACAAGCTGCGCAGTGTGCTCCTTGAGCACGCTCTTGATAGCAAGAGCACCGACGACGAGGTGTTGTCCACAATCAGTAAGCTGGAGGAGGAGCTAGTGATAGCGTTGCCATGGGAGGTCGAAGCGGCACGTGTGGCCATGGAGATGGGCAGTGCACCCATATCAAACATGATCAAGGGGAGAATGTCATTCCCACTCTATCAGTTTGCTCGTGAGGAACTTGGATGCGTGTTTCTGACCGGGGAGAAGCTTCTCGCACCTGACGAAGAGTGTGACAAGGTGTTCGTGGAGGTCAGCCAAGGCAAGCTCATCGACCCCATGCTTAAGTGCCTGAAAGAGTGGAACGGTGAGCCTATGCCCATCAACTGACTCGTGTCAAGGTTTTTATCTCCATATGTGTGTGTGTCTAAATAAGTGAACAGTACTGTTGTTCACGTGTTTTGAGATCATTGCATGTGTCTATATGCACTTTTTTTAATGTCTATTAGACAATCAGTTGTCTTTCATTCGGGTTAGTTGTACTTTTTTTTGAACATCAGCACCTCATCGTCGACGGGAAAGTCTCCTCCCACTGAATGCCTATCGCCGAAAATCCTGAAATAAATCCAGGAATAAATGCGAGCATCAGGATTTGAACCCTGATGGGCAGGGGATACCACAGTCCTTCTAACCATCCAACCACAGGTTGGTTCGCGGGTAAGTCGAACTTGTGTCATGTAAGTCCAATTTGTGTCATGTCATTTTGTATCACGTGGTCTTATGTGCAAAATATTTGTCTGATTCTTGCCCTTTTTTTGTTTGTTCTTAATTTGGGTAATGGTCAAAAAAAAATTCCCCCTTCCTTATATCGCTCTAACGCGTAAAAAAACGCCCACACATTAGCCCTTTTCATGAGTCCGGACCCAAAATTTCCACACATTAGACCCAAACTGTAAAAAAATCATGAAGTTACCAAAAAGGTACCAGCCAAAAAATGTATGTCACAATTTAACAAATGTTCACATGTTTCAAAAATATATGTCGGGATATTTTTCAATGAAACTTATATAATATAAAATATGTTCGCATAGTTATATATATATGTGTTTGTTTTTGTGTGTGTGTGTGTGTCTGTCTGTGTGTGTGTACCATTAGAAAAATGTGCATATGGTGCATTTTATAAATACTTAAACGTATTGAAAAATAAAAAAATATGTATTTCAAACTTTCACCATGTATTTGAGCATGTGTAACATGTATCAAAAACCGAAGAAAAGCGGTAAATAAACAAAGAAAACGAAACCTAAGAAGAAAACACATTTAAAAACAAACACAAAAAACACTGAAAGAAACCGCTTCCGAGGAACATCTATGGTAAATGCTTGTACCCGGCGGACTGGCTGAAAATTGGGCCGGTCATGCACGGGCGTCGCGCGTGCGTACGTATCTTCAGTGGGGCCCATCCACCGCTCTTCCCTTACCTTATCTTCTCGGAGGCTTAAACGACCACATCCATTCCTCCCATCTCGCTCCGCTCCATCTCCTCTGCTCCGCCCTCGTCTTAGCGCGTCGCCGCTGGGATTCTCAGCCACCGCCGACGCGGTGCCGGTCGTCCATGGCCACTACCCACCTTCTGTTTCTTATATCTCTTCCATGGCTGCTCCACCAAACACCACCGTGGTGACCTGCGCCCACGGCCACGGCGAGCCGGGCCCATGGATGCGAGGCCGTGGAGAGTCCGTCCTGCGGCGGAGCCTGTTGCGTCCTCTGACTGGTGACGATGTCCGAGGTAACACGTTCGACCGGTGAGATGCGATGCTAGAACCGGCATGGGGATTTGCTGCAACCGACGCGGGGATTTGCTTCAACCGGCGAGGATGGTGGTGAGTGGCGACGGTGGTGGGCTGTGGTAAGTTGCTGCCTTTTTTGATTTTTGCTGGAATCAGTTTCTCGATTTGCTGCAACAGGAGAGGATAGTGCTGGGCGGCCACGACGGCGGGGTGCCATGTTTTTTGCTGCATAGGATTTTTGCTGGAACCATCTTTTTGACCTGCTGCAATCGCCGAGGATGGTGTTGGAGCGGCTACGACAGCGAGGCCATGACTTTTTTTTGCTACATCATTTTTTTTGGTTGGAAACCACTTTTTTCAATATTTTGCTGGAACTATATGTTTTTTTGTTGGAACCATGTTTGTTTTTTGCTGGAACCATATCAATGTGTGTCGCTGGAAACACATCATTTTTGCTGGAAACACATTATTGTTTTGCTGGAACCATATCAGTTATTTGCTGGAACCATGTGTTTTGCTTTCAAACTGGTGTTGCTATTTTTTGCTACAATTGCCTAGCGCCGACGCGGAAGACGAGCATCGAGCGAGGAACGGCGAGAAGCCAGCGGAGCTTCGAGGTCGCGCGGGCAAGGATGGATGGCGTTTTTTTTGTACATGCAAGGCAAAAGGACAGGGAAAGAAAAGAAAAACGACACGCGATCTGACGGTTCACAGCTTTTAGATCGGTTGGCCAGTAGCGGACCGGCCGAATGGTTGGGCCGGTGCGCCGACGCCTAGTAGCGCCCGAAATCTATTGGGTTGGCCAATCTAACCTCTACTACGAGACTGAGCACTTTCTCATACTACACGAGATATATTCCTGGCATTATATACTACATGTTACACCCACTAGTAGAAAAATGACTTTACGTTCGCATCATTAGTCCCGGTTTGTCTACGGCTTGGGACTAATGTGACCATTAGTCCTGGTTTCAACGGCTAATCATTAGTCGCGGGACTAAAGGGGTCGATACGCTCCAACCGGGACTAAAGGGGTCGATACGCTCCAACCAGGACTAAAGGGCTTTAGTCCCAGTTGGTGTCACAAACCGGAACTAAAGGTTAGACTTTTAGTCACGGTTGGAGACACCCACCGGGACTAAAGGGGTTCCTCAAGTTTTTTTATTTGTTTTCTGTTTTTGTTTCTGTTTTAAATTGCTTATATTTTTTAGAATATTTGATATTTTTGAGTGATTCTTTTTGCATTAGATTTAAAATTTTGTCTAGTTTTTGTTTTTGCCATTAGTTTTCAAATTTGAACGGTTTAAATTTGAATTTTTTCAAATTGGCTTCAAACCCTAGATTGTGAATAACTGGAGTTTAAAAATAGTTTTAAATTTAATTCTTGTTTTTTCTAGTCACATGTTAGATTGTTGTCACGGTAAGATTTATTTGGTTATTTTTAGAATAATTTTAATTAGGATTTTAATTAAAACAGTATTGTTTTGCTTATATAGTTGTTTTAGTCATTTAATTGTTGTTTTTTTATTATTTTTAGTCAGCTCTTTCTTTAGATTTTAACATATTGTACTATGGTGCATATTGAATGCACAAAAGTCTAGAGTTGAAGTAAGTTTAAAAAAATGAAATGTCTTTGTAACAGATGAGTTTTCGTCCGAAAACTTGATACTTCGAAGAAGATGGTCCAGTTTGTATATGAAGTGCATCCAGTTTTTACTGTAACTCTCTTAACTTTTTAGCACAAGCTATGTGGGTGAAATGATGATACAATGCCAACTTTCAACATTTTCAGAGTTCATTTGTAGTGCTTTTCAATTTCAGGATCATTTAGCTCAAAAAATCATTAAATGCATGAAAAAAATAGCAAATGAAGTTAGAAAGGGTTGAAATTTGAGGATGTGGCTTTGAATGGTGCATATTGAATGCACAAAAAGTCTATAGTTAAAATAAGTTAAAAAATGAAATGCCTTTGTAACAGATGGGTTTTCGTCCGAAACCTTGATACTTCGAAGGAGATGGTCCAGTTTGTACAGGAAGCGCATCGTTTTTGCCTAACCCTCTCAACCTTTTAGCACAAAGTTATGTGGGTGAAATGATGATACCATACTAAGATTCAACCTTTTCAGAGTTCATTTGTAGTGCCTTTCAATTTCATAGTAATTTAGCTAAAAAAATCATTAAATACATGAAAAATAGCAAATGAAGTTAGAAAGGTTTGAATCTGGCTTGGTTAACCTTAGTTGTGACTCTGGCTGGAATGGTGCTAGATGATCTAGTCAACGATATGATTGGATGGAAACCAACCCAGACTAAAGGGGTTCTGAAATTTCCAAACTCTACCCCATCCCCCCCCCCCGACCGCCTTTTTTAGTTTTGTAGAAAATAAACAAAATGATAAATTATTAAAAAAATAAAGTCCTTTGTGAATTAGTTAGGTTTTAGTGTGTAGTTGGTGTAGAAATTCTGAAATATGAAGTTTGAGCTTTTTGCAAAAAATCAGACAAAAAATGTAAAACAGCCATAACTTTTGCATACGACGTCGAAAAAAAGTTTAATATATAAAAAAACTAGAAAAAAAATTGAGACTCGATTTCACCAGGGTTTACCCAGTGAAGTTTTCTCAAATTCTCAAAATTCCAAAAGTAGAAAATGTTATTTCAAAAAGAAGATTTTTTCCTACAAAATAAAAATAATATTAAAAACTAAATTTATTTAAAAGTAAACAAATGATGTTATATTTGGATTCCTCAGTTTTTTTGATAATAATGGATATATTATTTGTCAAATTTCAATTTATAGATTTAAAGATATTAATTATGCCATATTAAATGAATAAATGGCAAAAAATGAATAAAATAATATTATGACTTATTTTATGTTCATTGAAATTCAATATTATTATTACTTATTTTTTTATTTTAATAATTATTTGGAATTCAAAAAATTAAATTATGTGATAAGTTGCCCTAAGGGTTAAATTATCTTCCTTTTCCAAACTTTGTTCAAAACTCAAAAAATGTTCCCACATTCTTGAAAATGATTGTGTTTTATTATTTTTAAGAATTTCAAAATTGTTCAAGTTTTCCAAAACTGATAAATAAAAATGTTCGTCTTAGATAAATGTTTGCTACAATACTCGCTAATTTTCAAGAAATGTTCATGTTTTTAAAAAATGTTTGCGTTTTTGATAAATGTTAAAAAGTTTCAAAATTATTTTGTGTTTTATATAAATGTTTGCTACGTTACCTCCTATTCTTAAAATTTGTTTGTGTTTCGAAGAACGTCCACGTTCAAAAAATGCTGATAATTCAAAAGAAGTTTGAGATTTCCAAAAATGTCCGAGTTTAATTATGTTTCACAACTTCTGCCAAATATTGGTGTTTTGAAAATATTCACTTTTTCAGAAAAAAATTGTTTCAGTTTTATTTTCAAGGTTTGGCGCTGCTAATTAATTAGAAGTGGTTGTTAGTCTTAGTGGCTATCAGCTCGTTCCTTGTAGTAGGAGGTCCTGCGTTCGGATTCTTGACTAGCATGTGTTTAGGGTGGTTGCACCAAAGCGAAAGTGTTAACTAAGTGTATTTATAGTCAGATCCCTCATAC